GCATCAGCACTTCCTTCCACAGAGTCAGTCTGTAAAGCTCTTAGATAAAAGAAGCCACACAAAATGCAATGTTCACCATTTGTAGCTTTTCCGTAATGTATATTTGTTTGAACGGAAATGTCGTCACGTGACTGTTGGAAAATGGCTCAAAACTCCAATGTGTGAGGCTTTAAATAGCTACTATACAACTGGTAAATTTTGAGTGCCAAAATGGCTTTTGTCCTTTATTATAATCTCTGTTAGCAATATAGAAACTTTTGTTAAACAAAAAGTTGTCTAACTTGGCTGGATACAGGGTTGCCAGCTTCTTTAAAAAAGCTCTGCCTTATCAGAGGCCATCAAGTTTCCTAATCCCAAACTTGCATGGATTTTACTTGAATAAAGAAAATCCAGAGAGGACTCTCAAGCTGCCTCATCAGACTGAGATGAAAAAAAGTTTGAAGTTCTTATCTATATTGTGAAAGGAACTGCAGTATACAGATACCCAAACCAATAACTTCATATGATTCAACTCAGCATCACATAGACTTTGTCAGCTCAGGTCAACATGCGGCATACAGGCAACGGCCCAGCGCTGTTACAACCTAGCGAGTATTGCATTTGCTAGCCAGAGCGAAACACAAGGTTAATGCATCCATACCTCATCCACTCCCAAACTGGTCTGTGTTTTATCTACTTAACTGTCCCCTAAGAGAGGAGCAGACTTGTCCCTGCACTTCCTAACATATCACAGGAACAGACAAGGCTAACACCTTACCCCTGTGTTACACACTACTGCCTTAAATGCCTTACCCTCTGCCGTCCTAAGAGTTTTGCATTTGCAATTCTGTAGCCTGCCTTGCACTTGCAGCTCTGTAACCCTTCACCTAAGCCACCCGGACAGTGTTTTCTCTGGCTGTATTTTTCCCTTGCTGGAAAAAGGCCCTTCCTCAAGGCCCTTCACCTGCAAATACCAATACATTGACAGTGTTGTACCTATACCATACCGTAGCCCTTCTCTCCTCTGCCCTTCACCTATCCCTTGGCAGTAGCTTTCGGTATACATTACAGAGCCCAGTAACATGCATGCACAAAGCTCAATATGCAGCCAGGGTTCAACACCTGCCCTACCAACATCATAAGCAGGAACAGGGAGCTTGAGCAGGTCCTGGTGCAAACCACAGAATTACAACGGGAAAAGTGTTATGGGGAACACTTGCTGCAGGGGAAAGGACACCCAGAGGAGAATGCTCATCTCTGAGACCCCACCACTTTCCTTCCAAGCTGGCCACTGGGAAAACTTTCCCCTTTCTCTTTTTTTCCTCTCACTTGCCTGCTTTTCTTTTTTCCATGAAAGTAAATTTCACCTTCAGTATCAATTTATGCCATCAACTACAGACCTTGCAAATGGATCTTTGCAACTTGCATGTAAACCTGGTTCAACATCTGTGCAACAGACAGCCCATATAAATACGCTCTAGAGCACATGAGAGTGTAGTTCTTCACATGCCTAAATCAACCTGAGCTGCCCTTAACTTCCAAACACGTTCCTGCCCTCTCTGCAGTGAGGGCACAAGCTCCTGTGTGACTAGGTGAGGAGGTGTTTAAGGACAGTTGTAAGTCTACGAGTAGCTTCTCCTTTCTTCTCCCCTCACAAATTGATTAATTTCCGAGCAGCTCAACTCCTAGTGCTGGAGCCAGGAAACTCGCAAGGACACAAAGGCTGGGGACAAAGAAAGGACGAATCACTGCCACCTCAACACAAATCATCGCAGCCTGACACGGAAGCTAGCCCTCAACTTTGCATACAAATAGCAGCTCTTCGACCACATTTCCATGAGTTACTGAAAAGGGTCTTTTGTGCCACTTGAAACACTAGACTTAACCGGTCTAAAGATATGCCCTGGGATGAACTTAATACTTTATTTTTTTCTCAAGTCACTCATCTTGCCAGAATTAAAGTTCCCTAACACAATCTCCTAATCTTGATCTGTATCTTCACCTATTTGAAAAGCACATTTTTTTAAACAGAGATCAATAAAGGGCATTTAGTCACAGTATAAAAGTTAAAAACAGGTTCCAACTTACTTAGCATATTTTGTATCTGTTTTAGTAACAGATAATAATCTACAGTCAGAAACTGATGAAAATTAAAAATACTGATTACAGCATATTACCTTCATTATTTTTCAAATCTTATTTTTAAACAGTCTATACAGTCTGCATTTAGTTGGGAACTCCACCACCACTTCCATTCATATCAGCAAACGAATGCTAAATACAACATGGCAGTAAGTTACTTTAGAAGGTAATAAATCTAACATATCATACTACAGGAACATAATTCAGTACTACAGCATGTGCTTTGTATTTGGGACTTCGCTCGCTATTCTAACAGATCCAGAATTTGTCTGCAGACTTCCCTCCGGTGAGGGTGAGTAGGAGGTGCACAGCTTCCCCTCGGTACCACCTGTGTGGCTTTGCCTTTATCTAACAGTCCAGCAAGAAGTTCTCATGTGAAGACCATTTCTGGTTTGACTATAGCAACAACAGAGTTGTCTCCTTGTAAGAAAATCCTGTGAGAGCATGAATGACCGAGAAGGGAAGGATCTCTGCTGTACTGAGGTCTGCATGGCACGTTGCGTGTGGGTTGCAGTCCCGTTCAATGCTACACCGCTCAGGGCTCCGAGCATCTGAAGGGGTGGAAGATGATCTGCGCTATTCTCTTCTTCTACTGTCAGCTCTAGTAAACAGCATTTAAAATGACACCCTACAGAGTCTAAGTGCCTTTCTTAGTGGGATCATAATGGACCAGCACCTCCCAGTGCAAAACAAGGTGATGCATGATTATTTCCAACACAAGAGTAGTCCCAAAACAGTAGTATCTGGCATCATTCTTCTGTTTTCTCTTTACTCTGGTATTCGTGTGTGACCCCGTCTACGTGGTATGTGTTTACACAGATAGACAGGCAGATCTAGTTATTTACTACTTAGTTTTAGTTATTTATCAATTTACTAGCCACATTTTTATTATCCATCCTGAGTGGGCAACTGCACTCATATAAGCACAGCGAAGCAGGGAAGCAGATTCTGACCTTCTGTCCCGCCCCGCCTGTTCTGCGATCAGAAAAACCAACTGCCCTTGCCCATCTAATGTGCCCAGAGAAATAAAGCTCATGTACCATTTTACCCAAACATGGGTACACAGTTTCTATGATAGTTCCCAAAGAAGAAAACTTAAAGACTGCACTAGATGTACTACTCATTTTCTATGAAAAGAAATAAAATCTTAAAAGTTAGCGACTGGTGTTTCAGGGTTCTGCTTCCACAAATATGTTTCAGTAACTAAGTTCAGATTCCAGAATTCCCCATTTTATGTTTTTTACTATCTTGCATTTTTTCCAGCCTAGCCTTTTTATCTGTTAGTCAAACTAATCTCATTATAAAAGCTATTCAAATAAACGTAGGATTTCTAAATATTACAAAACTCATTTCAGGCACCATAGTTAGCTTTTTAAACCGTGACATATGTAAGCGGAGACTCAGGTCAGCAGTGACTAGAAATATAACACAAGTAATACAATAAGCAGGCACTGTTCTGTCATGACAGAGTTTTCTTCCAGGTTATTTTTGTTCATTTGACTTTTATAGATCTAGGCATTATTGCTAATGAGAAAAAAAATCAGAATGACATGTTAAAACCCTAAAATTATCATGATTTAAAAATCTGGGGATAAGTAAAATAAGATTAACTCAATCAAAGTATTTTCCTTAGACAACTCTGAAATGCTGCATGTTCATTTCAAACTCCTTAATTTTTAAACATCATTGTAAATTCAATATCTAATAAAAGAGTAATTTTGAAGTAAAACACTTCTTCAGGGTTCATAACATTGTTCTTTTTGATAATTATGAGATGCACAAAAATTAACTGGAAATCCATTAAGCAAACCTTTATAAGAAAGGCAACATTTTTCACTGATAAAACATGCTATTAGAAATTCCTGACCTGTTTTGTTTTTTTCTTATTTTAGAGATTACACTTGGTATTAACTTTGGAGCTCCAAAAGACCTGATCTATTATAGTTCCTCTGCAAAAAAATAAGGAAAAATGGGAAGAGAACCTCTATTGGAGAAAGAAGCTCTTGGGATTGCAAATTAATACATATATTACCTGAAGTTTCTCACAGACTATTGCATTAGATACAAATTACATTTAATTCAGGATAAGCTAGAACAGTTTTTCCTATCTGTACTACAGTTGTACAAATACCAAAGATGAAGACATTTCAAAAACGTAGAACATATTGAAGAATAAAATATTTCAATGGTCAGTTAAGAAAACTGCTCCACCCACTTAAATTTTATTTTTTTTTTAATCTTTAAGAATTTGATAGTTTAAAAAAAAATTTTGAATACCATCTTCCCAACGATTACTCCAACTTACTACAGTAAGGACAGCATTGATGGAGGACTCTGAATATAGGTTTCCAAACTGTGAAATAAAGGATTTTTCCTAACCAAACACTGAGGATTAAGGAACTGAGAGAGCTGGGCAGGCAGAATGGTTAAAAAAAAAAAAGGAAACCTGATAATGGTTTCAAGGCAATTTTCAAAATGCAGCCCTCCTAATTTTATATCCAATTTTTGAGAAAAGAGTGCTTCATTTTTATTGATACAGATTCTAATTACATGACACAAAATAACAGCAAAGAAAAGCAAAACTTCTCTCTGAAGTTAATGCTCTACCTCCTCACCGCCATGGCTGTAGACTGTAACTCCAGTACGCACATTAAAAAAATAGAAATGGTTTACGTGTCTTTATTCCTTGTGACATGCTTAGGGCATCTGCCTTCTTTTAGAAGGAGATTATGCATGTTTCTAAATAAGGCTGCAGAGACTCTCCTAAGTAAAAATGTTAGTTTTATTTTAATCTGAAATAACCTGGGAACTTCATAAAGATTTAGAACACAATGATAAGAAAAGGATAAAAACCATCAAGTAATAGAAAAAGTACAAACCTCTGATTGTACATGCCCCGGAAATTATAATTTGCTCTATAATTGGGAATTGGCTTTGGATCTAAAGGCCTGTAGATGGCAGGCTCTCCTCTTTTCATAGCCAGACCATTCAGCTCCACTGTTGGAGTTATACTGCCTGCAAAGAAGAAAGACTACATGTAAGGCACTTAAACTACAAATACTGCAAAACATACAAGCAGGACTGAGAGGAGCAGCAAAGAGAGAGATGCATGATATTTTTTTTTTCCTCTTAAATTGAAAAAGAAGCAACTACAATGACATTTCAGTTTCTCTAAAAGATGGGAATATAGATGGCAACTTAATCACAAGCAATGAAAAAGAACATTTAAACATTTATCTCAGTGCATTCTCTACGCAGTGTCAGTAGATTAATTTTCACATATGAATGAGAAAGCCACTGCTATAATCAAGCTGGTTATTCATTTTTCCAAAGTGCTTATAATACATTATGACACTTTCTGAAACGATAAAGATAAAGGAATAATGTCTCTTCCCACTGAATACCATTAAATAAAACCACAAATAGGACAAACAGGCATTGAAACAAGCAAGCAGTAATAGGCATTACTTACAAGTTAGGCATTAATCTTACAAGTTAGAAAAAATGTTTTATTTGCAAGACTTGAAATCTTAAGACTATGACTAAAAACTAATGATCTAACAGGAACGATCTAACAAACAGAAAATACAACTACTGGAAATCAGTGTCACTATAGCCATCTACTGGTGACAGAATACAAAAACGGAAAGCAGCCAGCACTTGCCCTCTTCCATGGTCTCCAAAATGCCAAATAAAAAGCTACACTGTGACTTCATTTATTAATTTATTTTTAAATAAAATGTTCAGCTACAGCATTCACCACTTGTGCTGTTGTAAGAAAATCCTAAATGAGCTAAATGTACATTCAAATAATAAGGAGTTAATATTTTCACAAAATATTTTCATAAGAGGTTCAAAAAAATCTAGCCTTAGAACAGCTAAGATGAATTTGCCAGTCTGCCGTTGAGGCTTCATATGCCAACTGATGACAACTTTTATGCAATACTTATTCAAAAACTTCTACCAACAACAATTTTTCTATTTTCCAGAGCAAGGAATGACTATGAATTCAACTATATAATAAAAATGCAAAATGTCATTTTGATGAGAAGATACCAGTGCATATACAATACACCTTTCTTAGAGCAAAATGACAGTGTTAAGTGATATGTTTTTTTAATGAACTCTCTTAAAGCCTATTTCTTTTGTTATCAGCTTTTCCCTTTAAGAATATGCTCAAAGCCAAAAAAAAAGTCTAGAAGCTGAGTAATACTCTGCAATGTCAAGAATCAAACCCAGGATCCCTTTTTATAGGGGTTGGAGCCTCCTGATTTCTGAACAGCCAAAGTCACAGTGACTGCGAAGGACACAGGGCAAAACTAGTGTCCTGGGTCTAGAGAAGCAATGTATTGATCTCCAAAGGAGCAAGAGAATACTATTGCATCGCTCTCGAACAATCCTTAATGGCTAATGCTCAGGATAATACTCACAAGCTCTAAAGGAAACTTACACCCACTTTTTTTCCAACACAGAGAAGATTAACAGCAAAATTACTCCATTTTAATAAAGTGGTTGAAGAACTTTTTTTAAAAGAGGGGGGAGGGGCAGAGGGAAATAAAAAGGGAAGAAGGGAAAAGGTGGGGAAAAAAGGAGTGTAAAAAAAGGGAAAAAAAAGGAAAAGACATTATTTTCTCACCATTTGCTTTCTTTTATATTAGTTTGAAATAAAGTTAGGAATATATTTTTTATTTATTTTACTGAACTAGACAGAACAGATCACCAAGCACGTGGCTGAGATGTGTGCCTCAAAAGGTGTTGCATGCACAGAAGGCAATTCACAGGTAACACCTCGAAATGAAGGATGCAATACACGAATCTATATTTTTCTGTTATTGAAACAACAGTTTCTAAAGTCATCTTTTGAAGCGTTTCAAAAGCACAGGTTGCTATGAAGGGAAACTCACAATGCAGGAAAATACCTGTCAAAGTTCTCATGCCAAATCTTGACCTTTTATGTACACTATAGATGCAATTTCACAGGATTGGACTGGATAAAATTTCCCATTTCACTGGAAAATTAGCTAAAATAACTCTTGGGAAAAAATGTTTTACTATAATAATAATGGTCAGTTCAGCTGGTTTTGTCCTAACTGTCTCCTGTTGATCTCACTTTGTATACATCCAAGCTTTATCTAAATATGTATTCACTTACAGGTCGACCTTTTTAGCTATGCGCATTAAAAATTCTCCTGTGCAAACTCATAAGAGGTTCTTCATTATACTATCATACCTATAAGACAACCATGTTGATTTTCATCCTCCAACTTATATCTTGTTAAATTTATTTATTAGTGGTATAATATTCCAACACTTCAACAAGATTTAACACACAGAGGAAAATGTCATACCTGGATTATTGTTAACGTTATTTTTGGGTGGTCTAGGTGTTGGTTTGGGAAGGGTAGTTTCATTCAATGCTTTGCTAGCAGCAGCATGTTGGGCCTTTTTAATACTGCTTCCTTCAGCTTCCCAGGTCTGTTCTCCAAGAGTCAGCTGCACTGTGAACATCTTCAAAGACAAAGAACAAGTAAACACTGGCAAGAGTATCACTGTGGATTAGACCAATCTGCAAAAAAACTTCCAGGGCTGAAGAGAAACAGTGCTCTTTTTTCATTATATTCAACTCCCAGATAACACATCTGATTCTTAGAGAGATCAGCGGTCCTTATCAGTGGGCAACACTTGGCCTTTTAAATGACAAAATAAAATACCATAATGTTAAAGTCAACCAGCAAGGAACAGAATACTACTTAAAACAAATAATAATAACTGCAAACTGGTCCTCTGCTCTTGGAAGACTATATACAGGTCAGTTAAGACCACATTTCTTCACTTTTATCTGTAGAAAACAGGTAAAGAATGCTACTAAAAAAAAGAAGTAATTTTGTAATAATTCTGAATGAATATAAATGACTGCACACTCTTCAAGGCAGCAGAGAATTTGGCTCAAATATTTTTACACAGTGAAAGAATTTCTCACAAAACTTGATTTCTGAAAATAATATATATTGTTAGGGCAGAGTCACAACTCAAATATGTTCAAAAATATAAAGTAAGAAAGAAAATAAATATCTTTTTGAATGAAACAGTATTTCTTTACTGTGGACTCTATAGTGAAGATAGGAATTGTAAAAATTCAGAGTTCAGAAAAGGACTACTGATAAAACCCATAAATATTTCAAGATCTGCAATAAAGGATTATTTTAATCAGTATCTATGCTGTGCAAGTCATGAAGATAAAACTCAATGCATATTTAAGATAGTGGATAGAGCCTATGTTCTGTACAATATGTACATGTTCTGTTTAAATTTGAGCATCTAAGAACAAGAGGACAAAGGGGAAGAACTGAATGTCTTTTCCGTATCAGTTCCATACGTATAAGGCAGGATTTAACAGTCAAATACACATGGTAAACTAAGATATACCTACCTCAGAAAACAGATCAACTTACTTGAGGCAACATAAAGAAACCTACACATTAGCGTGAGCAGTATATAAAGTAAAATTTTTATTTTGAGAGTTATTTGCTCTATAATTTTTAAAATTATTTAAACTTGCTACATCCAGGACCAGGTATCTAGAGATGGACAACTTTTAAATTTGCCTTTACATATATTTTCATTTAGCATGTACTTGCAAACAAGCATTTGAACACAAGTATGTACGTGCCTCCCAACTCAGCCATATACACATGCACATAATGCATATGAACTGAATGCTATAAATACATACTTGTGTCTTAATTACAAGCTTGAGTTTTGGCCTACTGTAATTTTCAGAAGCACAGTGCAAGTCCCCGGATCACGGTTCCTACCGCCATGCTATTTTTTCCACAGCAGTCATGACAATTTCCTCACAGACAAGGAGGAAGAGAGAAATAGTCTCTTAATTTTGCATTCTGTCAAACCCTACCCCCACCTGAAAGTTTAGCTGGGTATTAGAGCTAAACACCCATAATGATACAAATTATCTATAAACATACATTATCACCAAAAGAACTGAAATTTGATTTCTAGATCTGGAGTTTATATATTTTATATTTTGCAAGAAACTATCAGAGTAGTATTTTCATAGGAGGAGAATAATCTTGAATTTCAATTAAAATATGATAAATAATGGCTACTTATCTATCTATAATTCTCCTCTTAATGCGTAGAGTAATAAACAGGAATTCAAGATAATAAAGGGCTTGCTCAGTAAATTTCTACAGCTGGAGCTCTAACCTTCTCACTTAGCCCATCTGACAGAAAACTGCTGCAAAAAAACCACACACAGTAGTAGGTGAGAATTTCATTAAAGGAATAAAATTGCCTAAAACTAAAGTCTGGAGCAGACAATGAAGTATTCAAGTTCTGTAAGACCTGAGCTGACAGTTCTGCTACAGATTGACAGGCACTTCTCATCAATTTTCTGAGTAAGTTTGTATTTCTTATGTTCAACCTAATTACCTGATGGCTAGAAAGTGGAAATGCAAAGGCCACTGTGCTTTGTTCTTGTCTTCACTCCCCTGTGTTCATAAGGTCAGACTCCCTCAGCTCTGGCTCATCACTTTTTCTGCATTTAGAACTTTCTCTCCTCCTTCCCAGCCTTTTGAAGTGTTATAGAATCATTTTGGTTAGAAAAGACCCTTAAGATCACAGAGTCCAACCATTAACCTAGCACTGCCAAGTCTACCACTAAACCATGTCCCTAAGCGCCACATTTACACATCTTTTAAATACCTTCAGGGATGGTGAGTCCACCACCTCCCTGGGCAGCCTGTTCCTTACCACTTCCCCTCTTTGCTGTACAACCATCCAGTTTCTTTTGCCACTGTCTCTTTTGTCTCCTGAGATGCCACTGACATAAAAGCACAGAAGGAATGATCAATCTAAGGCACTTGAAAATGTCGTTTATGCTAACAAAGACTTTCTGTTTTTTCTTATGGTGAAGATTGCACCTGGAGGGCAGACTCCTAAAAACCCTGACAGTGCTATTGGGAAGCACCCCTTCTCTCCCAACTCCACTGTTTCTAGTTTCCCATTTCACCCCAGTTGTCAAAATTTAATTTCCAGAGACAACTAGAAAAAAGGATATAAAAAATAACTAGCGTTTGTGTCTACAAGACAACTGTAGACCATTTGTCTGAAAATCATGAAAACCACTAGTGGACAGGAACAGAGTATGTGTAGGAGGAAAGCAACGTGAGATGCCACTTAAATGCAAAGAGCAGCAGCAGCATTACATCCTTCAGGTCAGGCTTTCTAGGACAGACTCAGCTCTGCTTCACGTATTGTCAGGTATATCATCATATTACTAGCAAGACATTATATTAAGCTGCTAACACAGTCATAATAATTTCTATGTCTCTGCTTTGCGTAAGTCAAAGGTACACAAGTCTGCATAATAGTATTATCATCATCACCCTTGTTCTTCATCCCCTTCCCTCCTTTGTTTTTCTCATTTGCACAGGTCAAAATCAGACAATATTCTTCTTAGTCTACAGAGCACATTTGGGGGATTTTTTGTTTTTGTTTTGGTTTTTTTACCATTATGAGTGAAATAAACTGAAAAATTAAGAAATCCATTGAAAATCTGGCTTTCAAAAGTGCACTAAGGCTCAACTAATTTCAATGATATTAGTTCCTTTAAAAGTAATAACAAATACATGTGAACTATTTCTTATCTTGCAAAAATTTAAAGTATAGTATGAATGTAACGTAACATAACTCAAATCTCTGTACTGCTGAGGAATATGAACAGCCAAAACCTCACCTTTTGGTACAACCAAAGCACTTCTTATTTCACAATAATGGTAAAAAGGTAGCAAATTAAACATACAACACAACAGTGAAAAGTTACAGAAAGCGCAAGGGATGTAACATGCCACAACCTAAAAGCAACTGACCAGTGTATCCCATGGTGCGAAACGCCTCCAGGAAGGGGAAGAGCACTTCCATTTCAATTCGCAATGAGGGATCCTAAAAGCTTGCTGAGTCTCAGCAGCCCTGCACCTGCTGACATCATTTTCTCCAGCAAAAAGGATGCATGAACACCAGCCAAACCAGAAGGTCACTGATTTGCATCAACTCTGCGCTAGCTGGCAACATAACGTGCAACTGAGAAACAAGGGGCAACGGCAGAGTCAGCCCACGACTCACTGGAACTGTCACTACCCTGCAGTGTGACCCCAGTCTTACGAAGTTTTGCCACTCTAGAAATACCAAGTACAAAGCAGCTATCAATTACACCACCACCTCTCCCAGAGTTTTCAGGCTTTTTTCTCCTCCACTAGATTGCTCCTAACTAGGGAGGAAATTCAAAATTACATCTGAAAATTATCATCATGAAAATATCCCCCTGCATTCCCCATCATCCAAAAACATCCTAATTTGTCCTTACAAAATGAAGTTGGATATCAAAATTGATATGAGAACTGACCAAAATTAAATGTCAGTTCACTAGAAATTTTAATGCTATAGTCATATGAGGAGTCTTAATATCACTGTAAATCTTAAAGTTGCACAGAATTTAAAGGAAAGAACAATAATAAAGTTTGTGCCCTATAAAGCAAGATCCAAAGATACAGTATCAATGCAATCAACTTTATGGACACAGAATTGTATCAATAAGCACTTTAAAAAACAACACAAATGACTTCATCGTCATCTGCACTACCGTGAAACAAATGCAGAGGTAGTTATTGGAGGCACGCCGATCTGGGAGAAGGATTCATGCAGCGTAAAAAGCAAATGCTCCATAATGATTAAGAAAGGGTGGTGATACCCTGGAAAGACCTTCACAAGGTCTTTATAGAGACCAACAAATATAAACTCAAAGATGTAGGTCAAAGTGAGGTACAAAATGATCTACAGGGCTTCAACAGAAATACAGACATACTTTCTGAAAGCGTAGAAAAAAAAGAAAGCAAAATAAAGAGCAGTAAGAAACACCCTACACTAGAAATGTGGCTGTGTTTGACAAGCGATCTCGTCCAGACCATGACATTATCTGTTCAGCATTTAACGTATGGCTCATCACCTGGAACTGTGACCTTACCTTGGCATGAGCAGGCCCTCTTTCATTCAGAAGCTTATACTGGGGTTGAATTCTATTGAAACGGGCTAACTCATTTACCAGACACATTGGAGTTTTCTCTTTGGGGTTTGCCATGTTATCTTGGAGAGGAGCTGTAAATAAAGAGTCTGTAAAGTTTTTGTGGAGAAATGTATTCTTCACAACTTCGCAAAGCTTTGCAAAAGCAGCAGCATGCTTAGAAAAGAAAATACTTTGGCTAAAAAATAATTTTTGCACATATGCTAAATACAATGGTTAAATACCATTTACATATTAACCATATGAGAATATTCATTTTACAATAACCATTTTGATTACATGCAATTTAAAAAAATACAACTGTTTCTTTCCAAAATGTCGCTGTAAAAGGTGACCGTATAGGAGGACATATACACATGCTACGTTTTCTGTGTCACCAAGGTTTACTGTCAGGAGTATACTGGTTCCAGGAACTGACTACTCTTTCAGAATGGTTTCTCAACACTTTGAAGCAGAAGTGGATAGCATAAGAATTGCAAGATAAATATAGCAGATGAAACCCTGTAGTCCCCGCTTGCTTCTCCCTGCTTCTTCCCAGTGTTTTAGACTTTTCTCACAATAATGAAGTCACTCTCGGAGCACTCCCAAAGAACACCTTTCCTCCCTCTTTAAGGATTTTGTTCCGCTTTTCTTAGACTGCTTACTTCGTGTATGCTGCCTTACTATTTTTTAACCTTCTGCTATTTCTTTTTTCAACTTATTTGTATTTATCCCTAACATGCACTGTCATTTCTTGCTGAGTTTTTTAGGATATCATTTCTGTATTTTATACCCAGTTCAGCATAGGAACTACAGCATTTATTAGGCTACAAAGGAAACACTGAATACTGCCAAGCAGTCTGAAGACATTCTGTTCTAGGGAAGAGAAATACACTTGGAGACCTTCCTGCACCACTAAAACTTCTCTATAAAAGATACGCTCAGAATTTGACAAAATAGACACGTTCTTTTCTGAGCTTTTATATCATTGATCAACACTTCACTGTAAGTCTGAGCTCAGTAAGAGAAACTTAATTTACTAAACAGTCTATTTAGCCAAAATATTTTTCTATAAGATCTTTTTCTTTATTCTAATCCTCTTTTAGACCTAACTTTTTTTTTATTTTTTTATTTTAACAAGTCATCAGAAAGATTTATTCAAACGCCAAAGAAAATATACCTGGACCAACTTACCTGGTGAGTTGCTAGAAGGTGCAGGATCCACAAGGCCGGCAGTAGGACTGCTACAGCTGGCAGCAGATTCTGAAATGGATCCGTTCATTGAGGACGGCAGACCCAGTGTATTTGTAGTTGTAACTGGTAGGGGTAGCACCATAGGGGACATGGTAGGTCCGGACAGGTTTGTTGTAGTCTGCATCTTAACTTGTGCCATTTCCTATCACTGCAACAAACAAATTATTACAAACAGGGCACTTTGCATTTTGAATGTTAAATGACAGTGGTGATACTAACAGCAATTCTTTTTTGCTTCTGGATCTGGGTCACAAAACTATCCTCAAAAGTCATGTCTCTGTGCACATTACTTCCAAACTGTTGCACAGAGAAACAGAGCTCACAACCAAAGAAAATCTCTTGAACAGAACCCACATGCCCTGACTACAGGTTCTGTTGCTCAACTATGGGGTGACTCTGCCTGAAAGACAGTAGGAAGAATGATTATTCTAGAATAAAATTCCATATAATTATTCTGTGGATGAGATTGGCACCTGCCAATTCCTTCAAGGGAGGATGTCTGCAAAAAACTGCCAGAAATCTTTTGCCATAGTTTTTGCAGTAAAGTGCACACAAACAAGGCCACAAGAGAAAATCCCTATTTTTTTCTGCCTGTTACCAAGCTAGGAAAGAAAAAAATTAGAAGAGAAAACAACCAACCACCACGAACAACAACAAAAAAAGCAGCAAAGAAGCAAGTTTTGAAAAATTACTGCTTATCCAGTCAACACACTGGTGCACTGGTGGAGCACTTCAATCCTTATATAAATGACTAGCACAGGTACCAGGATTTCCTAAACTAGCCTTTAATCCAGTGCCTAAAGCATTCACCTGGAATATGCCAGGTACTAATTGTCTCTCTCCATCTGCCCAAATTAGTTCCTTTATTACCAATACCTGTTTCTGGCTAAGTCTACACTCGTAAACAACCAGAGTCAGGGCACGGCTCCTTCATACTATTCACCGAGAGCATGCTCCTTGGCAAAAAAATTGGCTACTGACAAAAAACTCCTGCAAAAACCACACAGGAGCAGTTCAGAGGCCGGGAGGCACCCCAGGCAATCCACTCAAATAAGCAAGGAGGCAGTCATTCTCAATCCTTTGGGGAAAAGTCTTGGGTTTCTCCTTTTGGCATGAGGAGCAAACAGGATCACAGAATCATAAAAAGGTTTGGGTTGGAAGGGACCTCAAAGATAATCTAGCTCCAACTCCCAACCCTCCACTAGACCAGGTTGCCCAAAGCCCCATCCAACCTGGCCTTAAACACTTCCAGGGA